GAAACACATCATAGCATTTCGTGTTGTCCTATACGAATTGATAAAAAAGAGCTGATTTTTTAACCATTTTGTATTGGTTTCCATGAAACTACACGAAATGCAACAGACAAAAAATACCCTATTTCGTGCTACAGAGCACGAAATGCAGCAATCCCTTCGTAGCACGAAACATAAACGGATTTTTTTTCTTCAGTTTGATCGATTCAATCATAGACCTAATCTAATCAATCCCACAAAACAAGACATGGCAACGTGTTGGGTCGGGTTGGGTCCGGGTCCGACTTTTAGGGGACCCAAAACCGACCCGTGGGAAGGTGGGTCCGTGTCCAAACCGGTTTTTCAATTTATTTATTTATTATTTTCTTTTTCAAAGAATTACAGGAAAGGAAAAAAAATTGAAACTTGAAAAAATTAACTTCTACTTAACATTATATTCAAATTTACAAAAAAAAAAAAAAACAAACAAAGTTGTATTTAAACACTAAACAATTTTAGAAAAATTGAAACGAATAAGACCTTGAGAAATAAACTAAAAAAATTGAAGGTTGTAAAAATGAATTGGTGAAAATTGGATTGGAGGTATTTATAAGTGAAAATAATAATTGAGAGAATTTTCAAAAGTCAAAATTCAAATTTCAATCTTAAAAATATTTTCAAAATTCAATCTTTCTTTTAAATTACACGGGTTGAACTTTACTTCTTTATATTTTTTTTATAATTAAATATATATGGATTTTTTATTAGTGGAGATTTTTAATATTAATAATAGTGAGTATGGCAATTAATAATTTATTAAACATTAGTTATAAAATTATTATAATCATTTACAATTTTATTTATATTTATATGTTTATAATTTGGAATATTGTAATAAGTTGATTCTCTAAAATGGTCGGTACTTTACTAACCCATTAGGGTGACCCATGTTCGCCTCTCAAGCCATGTTCTTTATTGTGATATTTGCACATTAAATTTGGGTGGACCCGACGGGTTCCCAGATCCGGGTCCTCGAGTTAGACATGACCACCGATTTGGTTAGAACCGGACCTGAAACGGAACCGGGGTCAATGTTTTAGAACGGAACCGAAACCGGTTTGACCAGAATAAGAACTGGAATAGGAATCGGATCCGAGAAAATCGGTTCGGTTCCGATTCCTTATTTTCGGAACCGAGAACCTATGGTTAGAACCGCGGTTCTAAACGATTTTTTTTTTAAATTTAATTATTTAAAATTTAACTTTAAACTATAAAATTTAAAAATAAAGTGCAAGCTCTTTCAATTTCTTTCCTTTTTTTTATTTTAAAACTAAAACTAAAACTAATTCCTTCAATTTTTTTATAAGTAAAAATTTATTTTTTGAAGTATTTTAAAAAAACTTTAATTTTTTTTAAGTCTTTGAAGTATTCTTTCCACTATTTTTTCTTTTTTTAATTAACTATTTTTTAAAGTATTTTTTTTTTAATTTTAATATATATATATATATATATATATATATATATATATATATATATATATATATATATATATATATATATATATATATAT